GTCTCAATCTGGGCAAACCTTCAGTATTCCAAAATCCATGAAGATGATAAAAATGAAGGTCAGAAGAAGCAGAAACTACTGATAGTTATAGCTCCGAATGAGACTGATTGTACCAAATTGCATGTAGCAAAAATTTGTATTCAATGAGCCTTGGGGAGTTCCCCCCCACCCCCTTGCTTTTTTCCCTGCTCAGCTCTCCCTTTAAAAATGAGTGCATGCTTTCTGTATCTGCTTGATACTGTGGTGGAGACTAAGTCCAGGATACATAATAACTTTCTTTGTTTTACTACAATGTTGATGGTTTACTGTATTTTCAACTTTAATTTTTGTCTGCTTCTCATAAACTGGTAAAAACTAAGAGATGCTAAGTTTTTTTTTTTTTTTTTTTTTTTTTTAATGAGTTCAGCAGCTTGAACTCCATTTATAACAAAAATTTAAAAAATTCAAAGTAAATTCAGTTATTAAATTTGTAATTTTCTGAATAAGCTACACTTTTTAATTTAATAAATATACTACACACGATAATTTTATGATCAAACCAAGTTATACATAATACATTTTGTGTTCTTAAAGTAGCAAAGGGGATTTAGATATCTAAAAGGTGCTAAGAAAGTAAGTATTGCATATATATCAATTTTCTCCAAAGTTTCCATCACCAACCCCCCCCCCCCCCCAAAACAAAAAAAAACCCCCAAACAAACCAGTTTTTTTCCATGGCTTCAAAATTTCCAGAAATGTTACATCTCTAGGCACCACACAAAATCCTATCTGGCCTGTAGCCACTACAACGCAAGAATCAATGGTGGTTAGGAGTAAAAGTGACAAGACAATATTGGGAACAGACCCCTGGAGCTCTTTGAGCATGCTACCATTTGTTAAATACCAGTTAATTTTTTCCCCCTAGAGTGGAATTTCTTTACTACAACATGAACTCAAGAGAGAGTTGAAGAGCGTTTTCTACATTTAGAAAACTAGTTATTTTGTTTTAAGACTGAACCATGGGAACTTCTGAAAATCATAATGGATGAAACCACAGAATACAAATAATTAACAAAGGTAAACAATGAATTACATAAAAGATTACAACCTGAGGTTTGGGGATGTACCTGGTTTAGGTCTCCTAGAGACTCTTGCTACTTGTATCAAGCCACTAGCCCGTGGCTCACTCCCTGTGCTTTTACTCATATTTGTATCTGGAATACAACGTCAACATTTTTCTTTTTCTTGAATTGGGTTTCTATCCATCCTTAGCTACTCATGGCCAGGAGAAAATAGAGATGACATGTATATTTCCTATAGATTGGTGGAGCTACTTAATAGCAAGTTACACTGGTGTTAATAATGCATCTAATTATTTTTAGCATAAGAATTTGAAGCATACCATTTAGAGAGGAAAAGATCTAGCTCATTCAGTTTGTCTTCAGCAATAGTGGAGTGTTTCCTTAGTTACATTTTCTAACTGTCTGAATATAAATTTCCTTACCAAGAACATTCCACAGATGTTTTCCCTCCCTGTTAATTAGAATAAGTTCTTTTTTTTGTTGATTAATCAAGTTATTCCTTGTTATATTTCCATGTAGATCTCTACATAACTCTGCTCCATCCTCATTACCTGCATCCTTCACATTTTTGTAGGCAATTGTCATACTTCCTAGTTTCATAGTTGGCAGGGATGGAAGGGACCCGAGCAGATCATCAAAGTCCAACCCCCTGCCATTGCAGGAAAGAGTACTGGGGTCAAACGATTCCTAATCCCCCCTAGTCATCCCTTTGTCAAGTTATAGATGCTATTTTGATCTTGCTTTGTGGGTCAGCTCCTTTATCCCATCATCTATTTTTTGCTATTCCTTGAACGACTTCCAGTTTGTCACTAACTTTTGAGTAATATAGGTTGTTGGGCCCATCACCATGTAGCATTCCTGGGGAGGCACAGTACAGCCAGGAGGGATGGGTGGTTACCTTTTTTCTCTCTCAGATTTGATGTATTCATGCATACACACTCTAAATTGATTTGTTTTTTTCTGTTTTCATATCACACTGTAAACTCAGATCAAATTTGCTCTTCATTTGTATCTCTAGGTCTCTTTCACCATTTTCACAGTTTGTATTTCTGTATCATATAGAATAACCCGCTTTCCAATTAATTTCCCAGTCCATATTAGGTTAGCTTGACATTTTTCAAGTATAAAAAAAAAAAAATCTTGCTTTATTAAACTGATCAGAGAGATTATATCACAATATAACAAGCACAGAGGTTGCTGATACAATGACTATTAAGTTTGCAACACTTGAAAATACAGGTTAGTAGAGGAAAAAATATCAGCTATTAAAATCACTAAAATCCTTTCCTTCCCCTTCCACAAAGCTGTCATGTGGTATGTTAGTGAGGTTTAATATTACTGAAGCCCCATTCTCCCCTCCACCCCACGCCCCACAATACATTACAATGCATAGTACTTGGCACTTGCATGGCATCTGTGATGCTAGGATCTCAGATATCTTTACCAAATGTAATTAAATTCCAGTATACTTGTCATAAAATTTTTTTCCCATTTTACAGATTTGGGAACACAGATTAAGTGATAAAAACTAGGTCACACAGTGGCTCAATGGAGAAACAGGATTAGAATGTAAGAATCACTTTCTGTCCCAACTAGCTGTACGCAGAACAGGTCCAAAGACAGAGGGGATGCAAAAGCATCATCTTTGTGACTCTTGATCCTGAACCTATAATCAGGGAAACTAGGAGCATTAACTGGATTATTACAGTTTGTACCTGGCTGGCCAGGGCTCCAATAGGCTGCTTTGGCAGGCAGAAGAGAGGAAGGGCTCCCTAGCTATAACCTACTTCACTTGTAAACTCTATACACCAAGAATGGAGGGGGAGTACAGCATAGGACTGCTAAACTGCCTGTCTACAGCTCTTCAAAAGGCTTGTTAGGAACAACTGTACTACTTGCATGGCAGAAAGTGTGGCAGGGCTAAAGATCTGGTCCCAGCATTCTGGCCCCAGCTTCTAACTCCATGCTTTATCCACTGAGCATAAGGGGTTAAGGTGACAAGAATTAGGCTATGCAATAGCATGCAGAAGAGCAATAACACAGAGTTGGACCTATGCCCAATAGTCTTGACACATTTTTGCTTAATGTATTTGAGAGACATTATTTAAGTGAGGAGGCTGTAGACCAGGACCTTTGTCTCTGCAAGTACTCCTTGATATTTAGATACATTTTCCTAAATGTATTTACTTGAATAAACATAATTTTTCATTTAAAGCAAATATAAAAATATATGAACCTTAAATGAGGATTATTGTATAAATAAATAAGTCTCAGAATCTCCACAAGGTTTCCCAAGGAAAAAAAAAAGTGTGTGACAGCTTTAGAAATGCCAAATCCGTATGTTCATTAGTGACTACTCATCATATATTACATTAGATTCAGTGACAAAGAACTGAACCACTTCACATTTAGATGCAGAGAGCTGAAGTCATCTTGGTGATGGCCAGACACGAGTTCAGATGCACAGTCAACCAACTTTCTCACCAGCTTTAAACACTTCACTTCCAGGGCTTTTACTGGGTAACATTATCAATGAAGAGCTTTAAGGACTAAATCTATTTAAAAGTAAATGCATGCCAACCATTTTTTTAAATCCATGGTTCATTTACAAATGCTATTTCTGTAAAAAAACAAATACAGAAACCCAAAACAGATAAGGTATATCAAAACCAATATTTGAGCAGAGCAAGGATCTTCACCTGATGTCTATTAGAGAGTTTGGTCTTGAAAGTCTTTACATGCAAATACCATTTCTAATGGTTTGTAAGACTAGATTTTATAGAAAAAAAATACAGCCACTACTTAAATGACCTGCACGGTAGGATTTCTCAAGTCAGACCTGTTAACTTTAGGACATTATAACGCATTTCTACGGGATGCCAGTAAGAAGCCACATAGCTCTGACAAATTTTAAGCAGCAAGTATTGTGTACAATAACTATAGCTCACTGACAGATGAATATGCCATAGATGGTATGTTGTATTGTATATTAGCATCTATTGCACGATATATTTATCTTCTTACATCCTTTAATGTTAGGAATAGGCTTAAAGTATTCTTAACTCCCAATTTGGATCATGGGTTTTCAGCATGTGCATCCAGCTTCAATTAGGATACTGAGAGCTGTATCATTTAAACTCTACCTATATGCAGTACAATACTTAAACTGCTTTGATGACAGGAAAGAAGTCGCAAGGGTGGATAAAAGAGTTATGGAGATTCTGGAAATACTTTACAGCAACTTGCTTTTAAAGCTAAAATTGGCATTCTATCTAGTTTATATCAATAGAATAAATTTAAAATACATGTTTCAGCATATCAGATTGTTGAACAGAAGCTGAAAATAGTTCATATTAACCACCAAGCAATAGCTTTGCTGATTAGCTGAAAGCTATAGCTTTACATATTTTCAGCCCTATTTCAGAAGCAATTTTTGGCTCCTAATTTAGGAAAGAAACTCTCTGGCAGTGCAAGAGGATTATTCCAGGAGAATCCTGTATACATCCATTAGCATGCAGCTCATTAGGAAATAAAATGATAAATGTGGAATGAAGCTTAAGAGTGTTGAGAGAGAGAGAGAAGAGATTACATACTGGCTGCTACCAGTGTGCTGAATACTGGATGACTAGTGTGCTTTGCAAAGAAAAAAAAACCAACTAAACAGCTGATGCTGTGTGATTAGTGAACAAATGGCCTGAAGTAAATCCCAGCTGGCACATCAGACTGATTAATAACCTAACAGGCACGAGCACAGAATGCAAACAGCATGACAGCAGTCTCAGTAAATACAACTAGCGTGCTGTTCTAAAAGAAAAGGGAAAGGGAAGAAAACTATCAGCAGAGAGAGGCACAACAGTAACATGCAGTAAGTGCGAAGTAGTAAGGACAAGCCCTTGGTTATGGCAAAGCATTAGCTCCAGCGCAGCTGGTCACCTCTACCTGGGAGCAGCTCTTGCAGATGTCCTCTGGTACTTGTGGAGCTCCAGTTCCTCCAACTGCACATTTATCTGATCCCTACATCCCCAATGACGTTGCCCACTCAACAAGAGGTTGAAGGGAAGAGGCGTGAGCTTTCTTAAGGTGGATCTCTTAAAGCTACAGCACCCCATTTCTGTTAAAAAAATATTTCTGGAGTTTGTTTGCTTTAAATTGGTTAGCCTTTACCCCTGCATACTGCTAGTCCCATATTGGACAACATTCACAAGCTATACAGAGTAACTTTTGCAGGAGTTAACAAAATCTATTACAATGTTTCTCCATTACATCTGAAAGCCTCTGGCAACAAAACAGATACTTGGTTAAAAGGTAAAATAGGGACATCTGACATCTATGAAAGTGGGGAAATCAGCAGGGGCTGACCCCATTGTCTTGACTAACATAGATCCATCCCCACTAGCAGTATTCATGCAAGTTGCTACTTTAAATGGAACTACTCACATGAATAAGAACTGCCCCATGAAGCAGCTGAATAGAGAAACTCAGAAGGGTCAGTTTACAACTGATGAAAAGAAATACACAAGTTCTATGAAACTTCTGAGAGTTAGGATTCACACGCTAAATAGGAACTATAGGTAGAACACAAACACTGAAAAAATCTGCATTCCTTGCTACATGCCAAACGGGACTGAAGTGCTGATAGTTACAGCCTTTGGACAATGCGTGTCAGCTCTGGACAGTGCTGTGCTCTATGAAAGCACTGCAGTTGTGAAATTAACTTTAGTTTGCACTAGTTATCTTACTGAGGGCACTTTTTTCAATCCCACTAAGACTTTTTTTTACATCACTCTCAAAGATTTTTGGAAAAGGAAAGTTATAGCAATTGTGTCATCAGTGCTTAATTTTTTTTTTTTAATTAATATATTTTGTGTTCCAGGTCAAATCAGTTCCAAATCATATCAACTGAGCAGAACTCAATCATTCCAAAAATCATATTGAGCGAGAAGGCAGAACTCAATCTTTCTAAACACCATGTATGGCACTAGAGTGAGCATCCTGTCTCAGGCTCTCACCCTGGGACTTCAGATACTCCCAAATCCACTGGCAGGCATCCTACATGCAGGCCCAAGCCTGGAGGTCTTGGGATTTGGACGCCCCCACCGAGACACTTGAGTGCTCAGCTTGGGCTGATGTTCTCACCAAAAGCTAATGGAAAGTTTTCAGTTTCTCCATTGAGTAGAGATTTGCATCTCTTTCTTTTCTAGAAGGAAGAGACAAAAAGAGCCAAATGCTATAAAAATGGATCCAAACATATTCCAAATTCTAAAACAAACTTATGTCTTAAGGTTCAAAAGGGTGAGATTAACTTTAACCCATTTCTTCCACATACCACCAAGCCTGCTTATGCTGGCTAAAACCAAGAAGAAAAATACAGAGCAAATTCTATGTAGTTGGATCAGAAATCCTTTCCTGACATACACTAGAATGTTCTGGAAAGCTCACAAAAAAAGCCTGTAATCTTCTTGTTTCCAAACAAACCTAGCTTGGTTGAATTCAGTTAATCCTTAAAGAAGCACTTTACAATGATTAGAAAGAGAGGCCTGAGTCAGGAGATCAGCATTTTGGCTCCAATACAGCAAAATCACTTAAGCATATGCTTAAGTGCTTTGCTAATATAGCGACATTTCTAGCCCCCCATCTGACTCACTGCAGGAATCTGTATGAATTTGTTACTGTCTCTATTTCCTGTTCTATACACAGAAGATAGGGCAAAGTGGCACCTTAGGCCAGATACAAACATTCAAAAAGCCCAAGGGAAATATCAATCCAACCTACACGGGTTTAAGTTGCATGGATTGGATTGGGACCGAACATAAACACACGCTCACTCTTGTGGGGGATACAAAAATGCTTGCACTAAGGCCAGAAGGCAGGGGATGCTCCTGCATGCCTCCCAGCCCAGCCTCTCTCCCCAGCCCCATCCCCTGCCCTGCCAGTGGCAGCTGTCAGCGGCAGTGAGGGACAGCCCACCCAGCTGTGCTTGCTTGGTTCTGGGGAGCTGGGGCTGTCACAGGGTGGGGGCCTCTGTTCCCCCCCACGGCTGCCCAGCTCAGCTGACATGAACAGCCAGGAGCCAGGACTGAGTAGCAAGGGGCTGTCAGCTGAGCTGGGAAGTGCTAGGGGGTGGGGGGTGGGGACGGAGGGAGCGTGGGCCCACCAAGACCCAAGCAAGCATAGCCAGGGGAGCCTCCATTCACCACCCCCAGCACTGCCTGGCTTGGCTGGCACAGGACAAGCAGGAGGCAGGGCTGAGAGCCATGCCTAGAGCTGTGCAAAGCTTTGGTTCATGATTAGATTCAGAGAAGATTCAGACCGATTTGGAGGCCAAATCTCTGAATCGAATCACTAAAAGCTTAAAACTTTCTGAATCAATTCAGTGATTTGGAGGGCAGTCTTTATGGGGAAACAGAAACTTAGAAGAGGGAGGGGGAGCAAGGACTGACATCTCTAGCTGGCCAGTGAGTGCTATTTCTCTCTGACTGCCCTTCCAATCACAGTGTCTGGGGGAGGGACATAGAAACAGCATAAAAGCCTCTGTCTGCAGGCTTGCTGTGCCTTTTGTGAGCTGGTTCTGAGTGAGCAGTGTCAGAAAGGTACTGGACTGCCTGGCTTACTTCCTAGTCAGTCAGTTGCCTGCTCCTTTTTGTTCTTAGAAAGGATTGGAAAGAATATAGCTTAGCTTAGAATCTCTCTACTTAATACTTATCCAATTCATTGCTTGCAATTTTATATTTTTTTTTTTGCAAACTTTTAAAAAAGAAAAGCACACATACTCACACACAGAAGAAAAATCAGATATTCATAGAAGAGATTGTATAGCTATTACATTAGTTATTATTATTACTTATAGTTAGTTTTAATAGTTTACATACTGACTAAAAAGAACACAGAATAAGTCCGATAGAGATTCAGAAAGAAGAAAAAAAAAAGATATTTTAGGTACACTATGCAACACAGAACTGTACAGTAAAGAAACACAACCCAGAAGAAGAAGGGGAAGAAGTCAGACAGTCACCCATTTAGAGTCAAGGCAGAGAGCATATCAATAATCAATAACAAGCAATCAATCAAGCTGCAGTCTACACAAAGCAAAGAAAACAATTCAGACAAGCTAGAAGGACAAGAAGCAGCCCTAAAGTCACCCAGTCAGAGTCAGGGCAGATAGCACATGGCTGAACAGCAACAACACACACACCATATACTTTATTAACAGGCAATCAAGCCGCAGTCTACCACACAAAGTGAAGCAAAAAAATCGGACAGGCTAGAAGGCAGACAGATGCACCTTTTGCAGCAGAAAGATTAATATGAAGTGTGCTGGAAAGGCAGGTGCCAGGTCTTCTGGCAGGGGAGGGAGAGGGGGTAGGGGAGAACTAGAGCTGCAAGTTCGTGCCCCCCCCCAAACATAGACACCTTCTCTTCCCGAAGAGCCATGAGGCTTCTGCTGCCAGTGGAAGCAAGTCTTAGCCTGCCAGTGGAAGCAAGGAGGTGGGAGCAGTTCCTGAGGTCCCTGCACCACCTCCCCTAACTCCAGAAATAGGCACCAGCAGCAGAATCGCTGTCTCCTCCACCCCAATGTCATCTCCCAGCATGAGCCCCCTACTGCCAGAGGAGGAGCTGGAGCTGGAACCAGGGGACTAGAGCACCCTGGCTCAAGCAATTCTTGGGACTGAGGAGGAATCAGAGTTTGTGCTCCACACCCCTCAAAGTTCCCCTAGACCCAGGTCTCCTTCTCCAGAAAGCAGCACCTGGGAGGAAGTTGAAGTTGTGAAGGCTCAGGCAAGTGGCTCAGCTGAGGCAGCTCCTCCTGCTGTTGTGCCTCAGGCTGCTGAGGGGTATAAGGCAGCATCCCCACCCTCAACCCAGAAGCGGGCAAGTAGCATAGTGTGGAAGCATTTTGAGGTGGCATATGATCCCAGGTTTGCTATCTGCCAGCACTGCCAAAGGCAGATCAGCCAGGGCAAGGAGGTGAAACACTTCACCACCACAGTGATGCTGCTGCCCTTATTCCTGCTCAGCCTGGCACCAGTGCGAGCGTGCCCAAAGGGAAGTCCCCTGCTCTTACAAAGCCTCCATCCCCACAAAGCAGAGGCAGGTGACCTGGAGTGGTGGGGGAAAGCTGCAGACAGAGGTGGGTGCATTCCCAAGGTGAGCGAGATCACCCATAGTATTGGGGAGCTGCTTGCTCTGGATATTCAGCCCTTCTCCCTAGCGGAGCGGCCAGGGTTTGGGTAGCTCATGGCACTTGTGACCCCATCTTACCAAATGCCTGCATGCACCACCTTTAGCAGGACGGTGGTGCCCTCCCTGTATGAGGCATGCAGGGAGTATTTGAGGAAGGAGTTGCACAAAGCAGGGCCTCAGGTATCCTTGCACTTCACCTCAGACATCTGGAGCAGCTGGGGTAGGTGATCACACCTACCTTTCCCTCACAGGGCACTGGTGCGATCAGTTAGGCCATCGGTGGGCTCTCCTTCAAGCTGAGGTGCTGGATGAGTCTCACAAGGCAAGGGAGATCATAGCGGCCATGAACTGCATGGTGTAGGGGTGGCTCATTGAACAGGCTGAGCTCATGGTCACTGACAACAGGACCAATATAGTCGAGGCTGTCCATGATGCCAACTTTGTTGCTATCCGCTGTGTGGCACACAGGCTGCACCTCATAGTCAGGGATGCCTTGGAAGGGGACAGGGCTGCCACTGATGGCGCCACCACCACTACCGTTACAAGCCAGCTGATTGCAAAGTGCAAGAAGGTGGTGGGCTACTTCCACCACAGCATCAAGGAGGGCAAGATGTTGTGGGAGAAACAGGCCGAGCTGAACATCCCACAGCACAAAATAATGCAGGATGTGGAGACTCAGTGAAACTCCACATACCTGATGCTCAAAAGGCTGGTGGAGCAACAGAAAGCCATCCATGAGATGGCCTTACCTGCGGAGATTGGGATCAGCGGCCACTTGAACAGAGCTGAGTGGGGTACCATCTCCCAGATCTTGGTGGTCTTCAAGCCCTTCCTCGAGACCCTTAGTGCTGGTGATGCCCTCCT